TAATTATTTATCAATTACATAAACATTACATCATTAATTATTTAATTAACCAAAAAAATTATATCTTTATTCATAACAAATTAATTCTTAAACAAAACTATTAAATATAAACTACGCAAACGTGCATTGCACGTTGCTTGCACCTAGTTTTTATATAAAAGTAAAAAATTATGTTGGGCCTGGTGTCTCAGATTCAGTCTGAGCTATGCTAGGTCTATGTTCAAAAGGTCCAACCTGATTAGGTTAGACCTGTCTCACGTTTGGAAATGCGTATTATTGCGGAAATTAGGCCCATACAACCTAAATCAAAAGTTATACTCATTTGGAAAAATTGAACCATACACTTCTTTATAAATTATTAAACCCTCCAGGGGCAAAAAACTAAAATGCATTTTGCACGAAAACAAACCATAATTTTCTCAGCCTATTTAGGTGATTTGGGTTTGATGTTCATTTTCACACCATAACTGCAATTTTTGTGCAATATTTGTTGTTTTTACCCTCTATAATCAATTCAACCCACCACCTTAATAGCATTGTGTTGGAAGAGATGGGTCGTGGATCGTCCATGTGGGGTGAGTCGAAACGCAAAATAATAAAATGGATTGGAGGGAATGGTTTCAAACCCATAACTTTCTCCAACCCTATCAACTTTTATAACTCCAAGTAACTCCCGTTGCTTTGTCTAGTAATTTGGGAGAGGGAAAAGATGGCAAGAATAGAAGTGAAATTCGTACAGAAAATCACTCAAAAATAGAAAAATGCCTATAACAAAATATTTGACATGGAAAATCATAAAATTAGGTATTTAGGTGGTGGATAATAATTTCATTCCATTGTGATCGAATTGGAACCAATGGAGAACAAAAAAAAAAAGAAAAATTTTGGAGTTTGGAATGCGGGGTGATTCAACAACACAAAAAAGATTTTGAAATTCATTTAGTCAGGTAAGAATCTTAACCCAAAATTTATGTTAAAAAATGTTGCGAATTCTTTCACAATGAATTCCAATTTGGACAGGCAAGAATGTGCGTTTGGGTCGACACTTGACCTCCCGATGAAGGTCCCGGCTTGGTATCTAGTGCAACACCTGCAATAAATGGAACATGTATTGTAGCTGCGCTACTGAAGCCACGACGAGTGAGTGCTGCCCATATCCAATCCCTGAATATCCTACAAAACTTGCAGTTTGACACGTAAACTGTTAGAATTAAGGTGTGACAATAATTCTATTTGAAGTCTATTTGGAAATTCTAGTTGGAATTCAATTTGGAAATTTAATTTAGAGTTTTAAATTTGTGTTATACTTGAAGAAGGCATGAAGCAGTTCAAGTTGCAATAAGAGAGGAAGAAATCATGCAATAAGAAGGAAACATCAAACTGGTGCTTGCAAGGTGCCTTGGTCCCACTCGAGCACTCAAAATAAGAGTTCCAGCACTTGTTTAACGCAAGAAGGCCACTCTAGCGGACGGCCACCACTCAACAGCCACAAAACCGTCGCGAGATCGGTGGTATTATCTGGGAATGCATAGTTCACAAGTTTGGTAGGTTTTTTAAGTCTTATTTTATCCCACACACTACATTATTGTTTAGACTTGTTATAGTTGAACTATACCACATCTTAGACTCTTCTTTGCACTATAAATATGAGGAGTAAATCTCTTGAAAAATTATCATTACATTCTACACAATTTGTAATCCTCCATTATTGATATTAGTAAATTTCCATCATCTACCTATGATTTTTCCCCGTAAAATCTTGTGTTCTTGATTGTTTGATTTTTCATATCACCTTATTATTCTCGTTCTTTTATTTCCTAACAAGTGATATGAGAGCGTATACTAACTAGTGAGTTTGTCCACAAGTCATATCAGAGTGAGGTTCGATCAACTTCGTTCGATATTTGATTTTTTCTGATGCCAACCATGAAGTATGATATTCCGTTTTTAAATCGCAGTACCAAATTTTCGTTATAGTAGGTAAAGATGCAAGCAGTGGTCACTCAGATAGATTTGGATGATATTTTGTTGGCATTTGACAAGATACCCTCAACCTGGACGCTGGAGGAGAAAGAAAGTAAGGATCAAAAGATATCACAAATTCATCTTCATCTTTCGAATCATATTTTACGAGACGTTTAAAGAAGAAAATCATTGTTGCGTTATGGTTGAAATTGGAGACATTATGTATGATGAAAAGTCTAACAAGCAAATTGTATTTGAAGCAACAATTGTATTCTCATCGTATCATAGAAGGTACATAACTAGAAGATCACTTAAATGTTTTTAAGGAAATTGTGGCTGATTTGAAAACCTTGGAGGTCAAGTATGATAAATAAGATTTAGGATTGATTTTATTGTATTTGTTACCTGCTTCATATATGTCTTTTAGAAATACAATCTTATACTGTTGTAATACTCTCACTATTGAAGAAGTATATGATGCTCTATTTTCAAAGGAGAAGATGAAGTATTTTGTTGGATTTGAGACTTATGGAAATGGTTTT